TTAGTTTCTGCTGTATAACAAAGTGAATCAGCTATATGTATACATATATCCCCATAACCTCTCCCTCTTGCGTCTCCCTCCCACCCTCCCTAACCTACCCCTCTAGGGGGACACAAAGCACCGAGCTGATCTCCCTGTGCTATGCAGCTGCTTCCAACTAGTTATCTATTTTACATTTGGTAGTGTATATATGTCCATGCCACTCTCTCACTTCGTCCCAACTTACCCTTTCCCCACCCCGTGTCCTCATGTCCATTCTCTATGTCTGCATCTTTATTCTTGTCCTTCCCCTAGGTTCTTCAGAAACTTTTAAAAAAATATTTTTTAGATTCCATATATATGTATTAACATACGGTATTTTTTTTTCTCTTTCTGACTTACTTTGCTCTGTATGACAGTCTCTAGGTCCATCCACCTCACTGCAAATAACTCAATTTTGTTTCTTTTTATGGCTGAGTAATATTCCATTGTATATATGTGCCACATCTTATTTATCCATTCATCTGTCGATGGACACTTAGGCTGCTTCCATGTCCTGGCTATTGTAAATTGTGATGCAATGAGCACTGTGGTACATGACTATTTCTGAATTATGGTTTTCTCAGGTTATATGCCCAGTAGTGGGATTGCTGAGTCGTATAGTAATTCTATTTTTCGTTTTTTAAGGAACCTCCATACTGTTCTCCATAGTGGCTGTATCAGTTTACATTCCCACCAACAGTGCATGAGGGTTCCCTTTTCTCCACATCCTCTCCAGCATTTATTGTTTGTAGATTTTTGGATGATGCCCATTCTGACTGGTGTGAGGTGATATCTCATTGTAGCTTTGATTTGCATTTCTCTAATGATTAGTGACGTGGAACATCTTTTCATGTGTTTGTTGGCAATCTGTATATCTTCTTTGGAGAAATGTCTATTTAGGTCTTCTGCCCATTTTTGGATTGGGTTGTTTGTTTTTTTAATATTGAGCTGCATGAGCTGCTTGTATATTTTGGAGATTAATCCCTTGTCAGTTGCTTTGTTTGCAAATATTTTCTCCCATTCTGTGGGTTGTCTTTTCATGTTGTTTATAGTTTCCTTTGCTGTGCAAAAGCTCTTAAGTTTCATTAGGTCCCATTTGTTTATTTTTGTTTTTATTTCCATCTCTCTAGGAGGTGGATCAAAAAGGATCTTGCAGTGATTTATGTCATAGAATGTTCTGCCTATGTTTTCCTCTAAGAGTTTGATAGTGTCTGGCCTTACAATTAGGTCTTTAATCTATTTTGAGTTTATTTTTGTGTATGGTGTTAGGGAGTGTTCTAATTTCATTCTTTTATATGTAGCTGTCCAGTTTTCCCAGCACCACTTATTGAAGAGGCTGCCTTTTCTCCATTGACTGTCTGGATTACTGTAGCTTTGTAATATAGTCTGAAGCCCGGGAGGCTGATTCCTCCAGCTCTGTTTTTCTTTCTCAAGATTGCTTTGGCTATTCGGGATTTTTTGTGTTTCAATACAAATTGTGAATTTTTTTGTTCTAGTTCTGTGAAAAATGCCAGTGGTAGTTTGATAGGGATTGCACTGAATCTGTAGATTGCTTTGGGTAGTATAGTCATTTTCACAATGTTGATTCTTCTAATCCAAGAACATGGTATATCTCTCCATCTGTTTGTACCATTTCTGCATACAGGTCTTTTGTCTCCTTAGGTAGGTTTATTCCTAGGTATTTTATTCTTTTTGTTGCAATGGTAAATGGGAGTGTTTCCTTAATTTCTCTTTCAGATTTTTCATCATTAGTGTATAGGAATACAAGAGATTTCTGTGCATTAATTTTGTATCCTGCTACTTTACCAAATTCATTGATTAGCTCTAGCAGTTTTCTGGTAGCATCTTTAGGATTCTCTATGTATAGTATCATGTCATCTGAAAACAGTGACAGTTTTACTTCTTTTCTGATTTGGATTCCTTTTATTTTTCTTCTCTGATTGCTGTGGCTAAAACTTCCAAAACTATGTTGAATAATAGTGGTGAGAGTGGGCAACCTTGTCTTGTTCCTGACCTTCGTGGAAATGGTTTCAGTTTTTCACCATTGAGAACAATGCTGGCTGTGGGTTTGTCATATATGGCCTTTATTATGTTGAGGTTAAGTTCCCTCTATGCCTACTTTCTGGAGGGTGTATATTCTAAAGCTAAATATGAATAATTAGGGTAATCTACACCACCGTACCTCTCCACATAATGGAAAACTAAAGAGTGGCCACATTAATTAATTAAATCTTAGGCCAAATGAAAATGAAATTGGGAAGGGCTGAAAAACTTATGACACATCTATATTTCAAATAAAATTATACACCTACAAAGATATGGTAAACCTGTCATGACTGATAATTCACTTATTTCAAGTTTATATTCTTGCTCAGAAAACCAAAAGACAAATCAGAACTGTAGTTTTTATACATTGGCTCTTGGATGTTTGGAAACTGTGGTAGGCATAAAAACACACTATTCAGGTCTCCCTCAAAAAATAAATAAAGGGGGTGGGAAGAACCTTTGTGAGGTGATGGATGTGTCTATGTCTTGATGGTGTGATGGTTTCATGGCTGTAGACTTCTCCTCAAACTCCTTGAATTGTATATATTAAATGTGTACAGCTTTTTACATGTCAATCATACCTCAATGAAGTGGTTTTAAAAAGAGTGAGAGTCTGATTTGTGGAGTGTACGTCATAGACAGCCTCTAGCTGCTGTACCTTCAGGATCCACCAACAGTGTTCATGCTGAGGTGACACACTGAGAATCTCCGATGATGGAGCTTGGTGGGAGTACCAGAGATGGGCCATTCCTACTTAATACAGGACTCGTCTAATGGGTCACCTTTGTTCTGGGGAGCTTGACCTACATAACTTTGAAGTACGATGAAGTGTTTATGATTTTCAAGTTTTTATATTACATCAGGACCCCTCCCATGAATTCCAGATCCACGTATCCAACTGCCTGCCGAACATCTCCACTTAAGTCGTTAATAGGCATCTCAATTTAACGAGTCCAAAACAGCCCTCATAGTCCCCCTCAAACCTGCTCTTCCCTTTCCAATTAAAGGCAATTCAATTCTTCTAGTTGCACAGGCCAAAAACCTTGGAGTCATCCCTCACTCCTCTCTTTATCACACACTCCATATCTAATATGTTAGGAAATACCACAGTCTCTACCTTCAAAATATACCCAGATTGCAATCACTTCTCACCACCTCCACTGCTACTCCACTGGTCCAACCTACCAGCATCTCTCACCTGGATTGCTGCAAAGTCTCCTAACATTTTGCTGCTGCTGCCCTTGTTCATCTTCAGTCTACCCAGCTAGTACAGGATCCAGTGAAATTGTCAGTCAGATTATACCCTTCCTCTGCTGAGAATCCTGCAAAGACCCTCCACCCCAATCAGAGTAAATAAAAGCCAAAGTTCATACCAGGACTAACAAGACCTCCCTCACTTCTTCAGGTTCATCTCCTATTCCTCTTATGCTCAGTTATGATGGCTTCCTCCCAAGCCCCTTAAATGGGACAAGCACAATCTGGTCCTTTGTAGTAGCTGTTCCCTCTGTTAGAATCCTCTTTCCCAGGGACTCATGGGACTAGCTCCTTCAATCCTTCAGTTATTATCCAAGTGAATTCCTGGTAACTATATACAGGGATGGATGTTAACTAGACTTACTGTGGTGATCATTTTGCAATATATATAAATATTGAATCATTCTGTTGTATACCTGAAACGAATATACCATTATATGTCAATTATATTTCAATTAAAAAAAAAAGCTCTTTAAAGAGCTTTTTCTAAATACTGTATCAGTGGAAAAATAAAATCTTTTACATCAAAAAAAAAAAAAAGTAAATTCTGAGGGTTTCCATTGACAGCACAACCTAAATTTCAGTCTACCACTCTGATACCTCATAACCCCATTCCTTGCTTTATTTTTTTAATTGAGATATAATTGGAATACATCAGTTTCAGGTGTACAGAATGATTTGATATTTGTGTATATTGGGAAATGATCACCACAATAAGTCTAGTTAATATCCATCCCTATACATAGTTTAAAATTTTCTTCCTTGTAATGAGAACTTTCAAGAGCTACTCTCCTGGGCTTCCCTGGTGGTGCAGTTGTTGAGCGTTCACTTGCCGACGCAGCGGGCATGGGTTCGTGCCCCAGCCCGGGAAGATCCCACATACCGCAGAGCGGCTGGGCCCGTGAGCCATGGCCGCTGAGCCTGCGCATCCAGAGCCTGTGCTCCGCAATGGGAGAGGCCACAGCAGGGAGAGGCCTGTGCACCGCAAAAAAAAAAAAACAAAAAAAAAAACAGGCAAGATTTCCTTATTTTTTAATGGCTGAATAATATTCCATTAGGTGTGTGTGTGTGTATCACAGTTTCCTTATCCATTAATCCATTGATGGACACTTAGGTTGCTTCCATACCTTGGCTATTGTAAATAATGCTGCAATGAACATGGGGGTGCATATATTTTTGAGTTAATGTTTTCATTTTCTTTGGAAATACCCACAAGTGGAATTGCTGGACCATGTGATAATTCTAATTGTTTGAGGAACCCCCATACAGTTTGCCATAGTGGCTGCATCAACTGACATTCGTACAAACAGTGCACAAGGGTTCCCTTTTAAAACTCCACATCCTCGCCATCACTTGCTATTTCTTGCCTTTTCATGACAGCCATTCCAACAGGTGTGAGGTGGTATCTCGTGGTTTTGACACGTTTCCCTGACTTTGAGCACCTTTTCATGTACCTCTTGGCCATCTGTATGTCTTCTTTGGAAAAATGTCTATTCAGATCCTCTGCCCTTCCTGCTCTATTTCTGTCCTCAGTACACATCCCTAACATACTATATATCAATATTTTACTTATTTGTATCAATTTCCCCCAGCCAAAGGTAAGCTCTACTAGGCAAGCAATTTTGTCTAACTTGTTTACTGCTGTTTCTTTAGTATTTAGAACAGTGCCATGCACAAAGAGTGCACTCTAAACATATTTATTGAATGACAGAGTTTCTTAGTACAGTTTACACTATTCCAATCAAAGGAAAGAATGGGTATAAAAACAGGAGGAGAGATACACCTAAAGAAAATTCTGACAAATAAGAGCTATAATTATAGCTTGCATTTACTATGTCTTCTCCAATCATTTATTCATAATTGTCTAATGGCATTCGTGATGAATACCTGGGTTCAACAAAAAAGGAGTGAATACGCTAAGCAAAGTTCATTTATTTTTCACGACGTTCTTCTTTTGATTTTGAGTCTTTACCCTCCTGGAGTCCTAACAGAATTGCTTCAGCCTCTAGGATAGTTGTATCTGTTGTCGCTCCCAAGAACCTAGATGTAAGTTCAAGATCTAATAGCCGCAGCCGGACTCTGGTTCCTTTCTGGTATTTCCTAAATAGTAAGAAAAAAAATTCCATTAATTCTGAATATCACTAAATGAACAACTACTTTAAAGTAAAACCCAAATTCTAATTTTAATTTGTGTTGGCTCAAGATAACAAAATTAACACTAGTATATGAGAAATAGTTGTTTTTGACAGAAAATTTAGTGGTATCAGAATTTTCATCTTAAAGCTGCCTTTAAAGATTTTATAACCTAAATAAAAATGTATTCCAAACTGAAATTCAAACAAGTTGGTTCTTGAAACTGACATTTATTTTAATGTCAGTTATTTTTAAAGTCAAAAAGTATCAAGGGGAAAAAATGTTTTCAGAAACATTTTGTCTTCTAAAATTAAAATCTTCTTTTAAAGTGAAAGAAATTTTACAAAAACAAAATGGAAAACAGTCTAAGTGCAAAGTACTTAGTATTGGGGATTGACTGAACTGTAACTAAAGTATAATGCTGGCCATAACATGCATGATGGCTCAATTTGGTCAAAAAATTATTCAAGTATTTCATAATACCAAATGAAAACTGATACTCATTTGTCTTTCTTCTTGATCAATTATTTTAAGAGTTTAACATCAACATTATGAAAAGGTACAGGAGAGTGAAAATATGGCTACTGAATAAAAACCACAAATCTTTAAAAATCTAAAAATATATACCTCGAGTACTCTAAGTCTTAAAATTAAAATTAAAACAATTTTATATAAACAGAAAATGAAGAAACAGAGTTCTCCAAAAAAGTCACTGGAAAATGATTTTAGTAGAACAATGTTTGATTAGGTATTCTGGAGGAATTTATAAGTGGTCCATCAAGTAAACATTTAGGCTATTTGGCTTTTTTTTTTTTTTTAAGTTATTTTTCTTTCTGGTTACAGAAGGAAATGTCCTTTTGTAAAATTTGGAAAATCATGATGTCAGTCACATTTCCTAGTCCTTCTATATGTATGTTTATGTATATATGTACATGGGTGTGTGTATCTGACGGCATAGACCTTACTTTCTGTCTCTGTTTAAAAAAATTAAAGAGATATCCTAGAATATTAAGGCATAGCTTTATATTCTTATAAAACAGCAGTTATAGAACACATTCCATATGAATTAACCACTGGGAAAACAAGCTAAGTTCACAGACAAGGTAAAGCTGAACACTATTTTCTGCATTACTTGGAGCTGTAACCTGTGTTCTAATGGATTCTTTCATTTGCCCTTACAGCACTACAGTGATTCATTTAATCAGCTTTGATTCACGTCGACCACCTTCCCCCCCCCCACCCCCGCACAACATCCAATTAGTTATCAAGTTTTGTTCATTTTTTAACACAGATATTTCTTGAGCTTAGCCCTTCAGATCTCATCATCCTTAGCTAAAGTTTGAGGTAGGACCTGGTGTTCCCGGAGCCCACCTTCCTAGTCTACCTCTCACGATGGTTCCCTACCTGCTCTGCTTATGTGGAAATGGCCTAACGTCTATTCCCACACACTTCTACTGCTCTGCACCTTTGCTTCTGTTGTAGCACTGCTTGGCCTTTCCTTCTAAATAAATCCTATTGATTCCTAAGTATTCAGGTAGAATGCATCAAATGCAGCTCCTGAGAGCCTCCACATTCCCCTTATCAGAATGCAGATTCTGTCATTGGAATTGCCAAGGAAGACAGAGGTTTTGCAGTCACAGACTTGGATGCAAATCTGAGCCCTGCTACTTACGAGTTGGGTAACCTTGGGTAACTTGCTTTCTCTGAACCACAATTCCCTCATCTATATAACAGACTTCGACCACTTGGCAGGTTTGCTGGGATGGTTAAATGGGATAATATTATATATTGAAAACGCATAGCCCAGTAAGCGCAAATGTCAGTGCCCTTCACTCACCTGTATTGGTTAACTGTGTAAATCTCCGATTTCTCATTAGATCGAATACTCCCCAAGATCCGGCACTGTATTTATCTCTGTATCCTTCCAGCGCCAATGCAGCAGGTACTCAAATGTTTGTCAATAAATTAACAAGACGCTTGCTGGCAAAAGCCACCACACCACCGACTACCTAGGCTTTCCATTCTCTTGGCTTTAGCAGTTGTGTGGCCTGGCTCATTTACTTAACCTATCTGAAGTTTGCCTGGCACAGTGCCTGGTGCACACTAGTTAATAAAGTTAGTTCTCTTCTCCTTCCATTATTCATATCTGGCCTATAAACAACCATGATGAAGGGGAACAGTGACTTTTTATGAAAAGGGTTGAACATTCACAAACACTTGGGACACAATTTCTGAGCACAGTCTCACTGAAGGGGAAGCTCTCAGTGTAGATGGTTCTGTGTCATAAAATGCTAGCAATCTCCTGTTAAAAAATAAAATCAGAAATACCATGAGTGCACAGTATGCTTGGTAGTTTATGGAAAGGAAAACTTTTTTTAGGTGTAGTGGCCTTTAATAATGTGAAAGTTTTGTCTTCATCTCTAAAAATTATGCAAAGTCTAGAAGTTATCCAGTGAGTTGGCAAAGGAGATGAAAAATGGAACTGCAGGACTTTACATGTGCTAAATGAATGAAGAATCACCCACATGTATATAACCTTGCACTAAACAAAAAAAACTCTAGAAGATTCTCTGACTTCTGCTACCTGGAAGTAGCTGTTTCTACTTTTATGGTACTTAATTTTCACTGTGCATTATTTCTATGTGTTATCTTTCCTAGCAGACTAACAGGTTCGTTATGGGCAGGGCTTTAATCACATCTGCCTCTCTTATAGTACTGAGATGTATACATTTCATTTAATGTAGCCTTTTGAACAGTGGTTTTTCACTTTCCAGTACATCAGAAGCACCTGGGGTGCTTATTAAAAATGCAAATGAGGGAAGCAACCCCTGAGAGTGATCTGGCAAATCTAGGGTGGGACTTGGGAATTTCCTTTTAACAAGCTCCCCAGGTGATTTGGATGCAGTCTTCTCTGATCAGCATTTGAGAAAAATCTGGCCTAGAATTACCTTTATTGTATACAAGACACAGCATCCTACACACATACAAAGGGCCAGTAAAATGAGGACCTCTGACAGGACTTTGTGGCCACCATTAACAGCCTTTGAGGGTAACAGATGTTTCCTATAAGTGATGAAAAAGCCAACAGACTTTAGGGTAATTTAAACAGATCAAAAAAAAAAAAAAAAAAAGGTCAGGGAATGACAATATATAATGGAGAAAGGCACCTAAGAACAGTCCCTCGAACAAAGCCTACTGACAGCGGGGGTGGGGCTGCCTCTCCCAGACACAGACTGTCCTTTCTGGGAGATCCGGGACGTGGAAAGTTTAGCAGAGTCCTCACTCAACAGAAATAGCAGCCATACAATTAATGTGGAGTTTATCCGCGCTTTAACTTTGAAACACTTTATTAAAGGGAAGTAAAGAAATAACTAATGTATTTCTTTTTATTCCGGACGCGCAGGCTCAGCAGCCATGGCTCACTGGCCCAGCCGCTCCGCGGCACGTGGAATCCTCCCGGACCGGGGCACGAACCCGCGTCCCCTGCATCGGCAAGCGGACTCTCAACCACTGAGCCACCAGGGAAGCCCAACTAATGTATTTCTGAGAATTCCATTTCTGCCAATGAAATTTGAGGTGAACCTTTAGTATTGTAGTCTTTGACAATCACTTAATACTACTTTGTCTTCCCATTTGGGTTTCCATTGTTCCACATAACAAGATTTAAAATGAAAATGCCAGTAAACTCTTTCC